CTTCGAAACGTATATTCGTTTGCATTTTGCATTCGTAGTCTTTCTAAAATGTCGATAGGGTCATTTCATTGTCATTGGCATTGTATTCAAAAATGTGAATAAAGTAAAAGTAATAAAGTCGATATAACATGCAAATAAGGGTGCAAAGTAGAAAGCCAGCTAGCCAAAACAATTTTTTGTGCTTTGCACCCTGATTTGCATGCAGGCCCGTACGAGGGGCACCGGGGCACGGTCCCCCTCCCCGAAATCGGTCGACGTCCGAAAAGTTCATAAGGGGGGACCCTTATGCAAAAGGCAGAAAAACTTTCGCAAAAGCCTGCGGCGCTGTCTATCACTGTTTCGAAACGATTTTTACTTAAAGAAAACCTATTTTTCTAAGATTTTTTGCCTACGGCGCTCGTTTTCATTAGTGCACCATTTTGCTGAAACAAAATTTCGCTTGCGCGCGCCGATTCCGATGTGTTTTCACACGAATTTAAGCGTTACGAACGCGGTTTTCTAATTTTTTTGCGCCTGCGGCGTTGTCATTGTCGCTAATTTCGAATGTTTTGAAAGTGGCGACGGGGGGAGGTCGCCAAAAATTTTTTGGGTGGGTGCCCCGAAATCTCGGCTCCCGTACGGGCCTGTTTGCATGGTATCCCGACGTCACGTCGGTATGCGTAACATCTCTTGAACTATGTGGTACCTGCTTTGGATGTCATACGCAGAGTCTACAGAGACAGAACTTCCTTTGCATTGTCTTGAAGATTCGAATAGACTCCAGCCACCAACCATTAAAAAGTATACATACGGTTGTGGTTTGAAGTGCCTGAAAATGGAGCTTAAAATTAGAAGGACGTAAATCACCTCGAATTTAACTTTCCGAATCAGCGCTGCTTTACTTGATCCCATATGTAATATTTTCCTCTTCTTGCTTCAATTTTATCATCTCTAATTCTCTTCCCTTTTCTTGAACTGTTCCAGCGTGAAGGTTTCGGACGACCATAGTTGTTTTCTTGATGGAAACATGACGGCGCTTGAATAGCGCCGAAAGAAGTACTCAAACATGTTGATCGGCATTTTTCATCATCCTGAAATTTTCGTATTACGACCGACAGCGCAAAATTCTGCACAAGCTACACTTGGTTCCATCCCAAAGTCCCGACGACCCTCAAACACGTCTCCATGTCGTTTATCCAAAGGACTAATCATTTCGCAAGTTTAATTCGGATTTTACGAAATGGACTTCAAGCATCCTAATTGTAAGTAGTTAAGGAAAATCGTAGCGCTTCAAAAATTGCTATTCTCCTTGTTTTTTTCAGTGACTGTGGCTCTTAAAACAGAAACACAGAGCCATTAACCATCCTAAAACGATATTCTGGATCGGTGAGACGTTTCCGAGACACCATCTCGTCTCAGGAAACCTGCCATTTCCCCAAAAAATTATTTTGAAATATTTTTAAATACACTCTAATGACAGTTTCGAATACCTTTAGACGTTCAGCATTTAAAAAGCCGTTTACAGGTTTCCGTGTTATTAATCGATTCCTTGAAGTTTCGCTTATCAATTTTTCCGCACCCTTAAAAATAGATGTTTCCGGAAAGGAGATTTACCTAAATTCGACCTCCATGAACCTGATTACACACGAGTATAACATCAGGGAATAAATGAAAGCTTTGTAAAATTCTTCTTGACTTTTGGTGTACCAACCAAAGGTGCCCTTTTACGAAGGCGCAACGTTTCTTGGAAAAATTAACCAAGCCGAGATTGGGATCTAAAAGTAAGTTTTGATCTTGAAGGCGCAACACGACGTAGGAAAAAAATCGGATAACGAAGAAGTCCCAGTGAAGAGCGGAAAAGTAGCGAATCGGCATATTTTTTATGAGATCTGCCTTAAGCGTTTTTGACGAATTAAAAAACGAATTAAAACGTGGATTAAAAAGTTCATTAATTACCAATCAAATTTTTTAAGATTCAAACGTTAGAAGCCAAGTTTATCATTTTTATCGAAAAATCTAAAAATTCGCATCGAATTGCAAGCTGGTAATTGCATATAAGATAAAAAGCAGCTGTATCTTGTTGTACAGGGTGTCCCAAAAAAAACGACCCATCTGGCATTTCGCCGTATTACAGCCGATCGGCCCGAAATTTGGTCCAGAGGTGTATCAGACCCTAAATAACAACAATCCTGACTTATAGCCCCGTAGCTACGGTTTTTCTCGAGTTATAACGAAAATATTGTTTTTGACGCAATTCTAAACAGTTTTTTCGGCTATCTGTTTGGACTTTGCATCGATTTGCATCGACTTCCGGCTGTGAATCCCTAATTTCGCTTAAGAACATGGCGAATTTTGTGTTGTAAAAAATCGCTTAATTCAACGATTATTTCATTAATTCTGGTCCGGAAAAAATTTCTTCAGGTAAAGAAGACCTACCGAATCATTTGCACTTAATGTCTAGGGGGTCTAACTCCACGGAAACCCTATGAAAAACGGAAAATAAAGTTTATTTTCGTTATAACTTTAAAATTACTGTAGCTACGAGGCTATAAGTCAGGATTGTGGTTATTTAAGGTCTGATACACCTCTGGTCCAAATTTGGGGCCGGTTGGATGTAACACGGCGAAATGCCAGATGGGTCGTTTTTTTTGGGACACCCTGTATATCTCGGAAGTTTAGTTAGTTGATAGCATTAGAGCCGAGGGCCCAATGGCCCAAAGCCCCAGGAGGGGCCTCCAGACTACACATTGACGGCGCGCCAATTTGAAAAATAGCTTACGTAAATTGAGAGAAGAAGCTTTCTGGAAGGCTTTTTCAAATGATAATCCTAAAACTAGTCATTACTCTAACATATCAAAAAATTCTATTAGCATCTTATGATGCAACTACGAAATTATACCTCGTGGATGTCGAGCTTGATGTCTTGTTCGTGTAAACGAAAAGTTATTTGGCTATAATTGTGTGTATCTCCGAATGCCATAGATGTTCGTTTCTTAGGTGTAGCGTTAGAACTGACTGAATTAGGTTAAGTATGAATCTCTTTGCAAGTGAAGGTCGTTTGGGTCAGGTGTCAAATTGACTTGAAACTTTGCCAGTGGATAGAAAATCAAAAATAAAATGGAGTTTCTTAATCTCATTTTTTGCACAATACCCCAAATTAAAAAGTTATGGGCCTTTGAAGTTACATCAAAAAGGCACGAAACGACCCGACAATTCTGATCTGGACCTCATTGTGGCCTGCCCCCTTTTCAAGCTCTTGCGTCGCCCGGACTGGCAAGCTGTTTGGCGCAGTAGGTAGTGCCATAGACTGCGAAACTTTTTAAATTTTTGTAATCGGGTTCAAGTTTTTGATGCGTCCAAATTTTTTGCTTTTTGGATTTTACGCCAACTAACCCTAATTGGCAGGAGCAAAAAGCAAAAAGCAAAAAGATGGAAAAGTCCGAATCTCGAACTTTTGCCAAAAATTTTTCAAAAGATTGAAAGTCAAGCATACTACTGATTGCGCTACAAGATACGTGGGGAGTGGAGACGAGAGTGGGTCAAGAAGCCACCCATGCAAGAATGTGGCAGCCGTGTGGTAATGGTGCAAAGCCTGCACAGAACTCATTTTTTAAACCACAAACTTAAAATGCTTATAACTTTTTAATTAGGGATATTGTGCAGAAAACGAATTAGCGCAGCTTGTTCCGTTTTCGATTCTCTCTCAACTGGCAAATGTTCAGAATGATTTGACACCTGACCCAAACGACCTTCCCTTGTTAGATATCTTGAACCAGCGCTGGCCCGCCGCTACGCGCGGGTTCAGCGCTGGCTCCCTCCCCGCCCCCACACTTTGAATTTTAAATTTGAATGGGTAAGAGTCTAGAAAACCCCCCAGCCGGCACCAACTTTTGTATCTCGGCCCCCCTTTGTGTTAGCAAGCTCTAAAGTATACCAAAATGTTCGCCGTAGGCTAATTAGTAAGACTACATTGCGGTTCAGTCGAAAAAAGTAGCGAAAAATAAAAATAAGGAAGGTAGAAAAGATGAAAGGTCGGCTGGGGGGGGGGGTCCTAGACTTGAGCCTTTGAATGCGAAATTGGCTGAATTCGGCTTCGGACAGACGGACGCGTCAAGAAAATTATTATAGTTGATTCCTTACGACCAGCTACCGATCATTTCTAACCTGACCGCTCGAACCGGGTCCAACGACAATTTACCGACCTGAGATGCGAACTCCTTCCAGTGGACCATTAGTATAAGAATGGGGCTTTTATTCGGGGCCCTACAGAAATCATAAATATAGAGAGGGGCACACCAAAATGGCAGCCCGAGGGAGACCGCAGAGGGCGGAAGGTCTGGGGGGAACGGAGATTGGACCCCCTAGCCTTAGTTAGGGGCTAGGGTTATAAAGGAGCAAAAGGCTCCGCCCCCTCCTTCCGCATCTCTGCGCTCTCCCTGCGGGTAGACAGAGGCTTTTCCATCCATAGTCTGCGTGGTCGGCTTACATCCCCTCGGCGCGCAAGAAGTTCGTCCCGAGCTTCCGAGCGGGCGTGGCAGTGACAAAGAGGGCATCGGCTTCTTCTGGCTTTTCTCGGTCTTCCTCATCCTCATCTCCGCCTCCGACTTCTTAATCCTCATCTCCGTCTCCGACTTCTTCTTTGTTTTTCTCTTCATCGTCTTCTTCATCTTCGGTGTTCTCTTCTTCTTCTGCGCTTGTAGTTTGCGTCTTGTAGGGTTTTACGTGGCTCTTATGCACGACGATTTGGCCTCTTCTTGTCCTCCCTTTTAGAGTGAGTGACGATCTTTCGTCTTTGATTACCGAATATGGTCCAGCCCAGGCGGCTTCCAATTTTCCTGCGTTCTCCCTTCTTACCATCACTTGGGCGCCTTCCGCGTATTTCTTCTCTGCCCGATTCTCATTTTCCTTCTTCTGGTTCATTTCAGCCGACTTTCCAATCTTCTGTTTCATTTTAGCCCATATAGTAGGAAGCGAGAGAGAGAGAGAGAGAGAGTAGTTTCTGCTAGACCGTCTAGACTCTACAGCAGGTATTTATCACCAGATAATTGACACAAATACAGAATGCGGTTTGTTTTTGTTTGAACCGGCGCGATGCATCCATTCGCTGGCAGTTGATGCTAAAAGTACAAATTTATAATATGCTTTGCAACGGTGGATCCAATTTTTTTGTTTTTGCCTTGCCCTTTTTTTCCCAAATTTTAATTCAATTTAATATTTTAATACGCCATAAATGAACGTTTTTTGCGGATTTCCGATAAATTCATCGCTAAAAATGAAAGGCGAAATGGATCAGGTTTTAAAAAAGCTCGCAAAACTTACTGAAAGGTATCGGGTGCTCCAGAGAAATGCCGAGCCTCTCAGAATTTTTTACGGTCGGTTAGATGAAGCGCACTACATTGGGCATTTCCGTTCCTCGCACACAGGTGTCAATGAAGCCTTCTGAAATTTTTCAATTTTCGGGGAAAACGGACATTGTACGAAAAATAGTAGCAAAACCCACACATTTGAGCTTGTCCAATACACAAAGTTGCGCATCAGCGGCCCATTGGTATAATAAGGAACTTGTACAAGCTCAAGTGACCGCCGATGGCCGTTTTGTGTCAGTCGCACCGGACGTGTTGTACCAGTTTTAGTTTCACCGGCTAGCTCGCCGACCCTTCCTTGGTCATTAGCCGGAGAACTCAACGCTGAAAATCAATCAAATTTTTTTGTAAAATTTCAGGTCCAAATTTTTTGCGAATTTGGGTTACAATATTTATCGGCAGTAGCAGCAGTTTTGAATAAAGGTAAAACTCGGCCAATTGATGATTCGGATCTGACTTATTCGATGCTAATTCGGTAGAACATAAACTAATTCTAATGGGACTTGTGAACATTGAATATAATTCTTACTTTCTCTAATTATTTAAACTCTGATTCAAAATTGGGCTTTGCGCCTTTTAAATACCTTAAATAACGTACTGAAAATCTTCAGGTGCAGCATTGAGACCCACTACGGAATTACGAATCTATCAACAGGCTCTCCGTAAATGTTCTTTTTCTCAACGAATATGGCCGCTACTTCTCTGAAAGTTAACTTATTCGTCGCCTATCCCGGGTCAAACGCGGCTTTACTTCTCCCATGACAGTTTTCATCGATTTACGAGACATACGGAGGATATTAAAAAATTCTGAGCTGTACCGAACGCTTTTCATTAATAGATACTTTTTCGACCTTAAACCTTTAAAAGATCCAGTTTTACAAAAGTATGCGCACAAATCCGGGCTGACTGGTAGTCTAGTCTGATTGAAAACTTAAGTCATACTACTCACTTTTTGAATACCAAAATAAATCGATCGGTAGCCATACAGATGAAGGTTGATCGGCGCGGTGGAGATCCCATTTTTCTTTTGACAGGAGAAGTTGTCCCGGGACTGTGTCCTAGCTTTTCCGACGTTTCTTGATTCTTCTGGTGTCATCATGGGTCTTAAAACATTTCTTCAATTTATTTCCGCGTACTTCGCGCGTTTTCCGATTTCGGCTGTCCTCGTTTAATCTGTAGTGCTTTTGCTGATTTTTTGGCCTTATTCGTTTAGCGTTAGTTGGTATTTCGTGTCTCTTCCAATAATTTCCGTAGACGTTTCAATTATGAAGCCATGCACGGTGCGTGATCATTTTCTGGCCCACGATGAATTTTTCGAAGAATTTTTCGAGATTTTGCCTTAATTTTTTCCAATCTTCGCTCTTCATATGCTTCTTTACTCCTGGAATCATCCCCGCTAAAAATCTTGATGTTGCCCGTCTTCTACCTAAAATCCCGTAAATTAAGATAGTCTTGTTGCTCTTGGAAAGCATTTTAATTTAATGTTAATGCCCTCAAAAATTACGGCGATATTCAAGTTCTTACATACCTTTTTAAAGTTTCCACCACGCGCTCTTGCTGCAGTTTCCCGTTTTTTAGCTCTGCATTTTCTTTCTTGTTAAGAAAAATGTCACCCAGAGTTGAAACGGATTTCTTCTCATACCTGAAATTCCGGAGATTAAACTAGTTTGGCAATTTCCAGAAGCGGGATTGGTCGAAACTTTTCCTTACCTGACCGCCATCAGTTGCATTGCCTGGTTTGAATTTTGCCTCCGACAGCTCTTCAAATCTTCGCGTCAGTAAGTTTTCTTGGCATTTCCATTCGTCGAGCTCTTCTTCGTCATTTTTTTGATCGCCACGTTATCGAGGTAAACGCCAATCTTTTTTTCGCAACTAAAATATCAGTTATTTTCGCGATTTTGGCAAGTCGCATGACTCAAAATTGCTTACAAATTTCGCGTTTTTATTGAAAGATAAAATATGATTGTTAGTACTAGTACTCGTCCAATAATGATAATTAAAGTGAGGCTTTTTCATACCTTCATTTATTTACTTCGGAGTTTCCGCTGCGCTTTTCTTCAAAAGCTCTCGAATTTTTTATGTTTTGATTCCCAATGTTTCTCGATCTTGATTTTTTCTAGTTGGCACCTAAACTTTTACAATTCAAGTAACTTGTTTTCGAGAAGCAGTTTAATAAAGAATTGACAACCATAGCTTGTCAGAGGATAAAGGATGGATTAAATTCCCTACCTGCAAAAACCATTGTTGTTTCTCAAGTTCTATTTTGCGCTCTTCATCTTCATCTCATCTACTATTGAACTCTTCCGAGTACAAGAATATGATGTTCTTTTCGCACCTGAAAATTCGTAATTCAAGAAAACCGGTGATCTTCAGTAAAATCGTGCCTGGTGCCAGCATAAACAATAGCTGCTAATTATACAAAAAAGTGTAGTTCTTGAGCATGGAATAGTTCGTCAAAATTGATCACGACCTGGCGTAAAAACCCGATGTTAAAGGTATTTTTTTTCTGGTTTCCCTTTAATGGAAGTTTATATTTTCTTAATGCACTCCTACCTTCAGTTTGTCGCACATCAGTGCATTGATGTGGTCGGCCAGATCTCCCGGTGACCTTTTTTGATTTGATTCAGACCAAAGTATGTGGTTTAGCGTTGATTTAGCTTCAATTCATCTCATTTGAAACGTTCGATAGAGGCGTTTTCCGAAGGCCTCAATTTTTGGTAGAATACGCACAAGTTGAAGACGAGTCCTGAAATGAGCAATATTTTAGGGTTCGCAAAGAAATAATGAAAAAAAAATAAAAGCACAATAAAAAGCTGAGAGCGTGAGTTTTTGTGTCATTTTTTGATAAATTAAAGCCTGGAAAATTAAATGTTTGAACATTTGCCTGGAACAGAATAGAATGGTAATTCGGCAAACGACGCCTAAGCTTTTTTGGAATGCCGCGCTTGGGGTGATATGCAGTTGAAGGGGGCGATGGGGGGTTGCGCAGCGTAAGTAGACGCAGCAAGTGAGAGAGAGAGAGGTAGAGAGAGGTAGAGAGATAGGGAAAGAGAGAAAGAGAGAGAGAGAGAGAGAGAGAGAGAGAGTGAGAGAGAGAACGGGCGCTTTTTACGACCCGACCCGAAATGTTACTGTTGCTGATGGTACAGATAGGTCTATCCTTTTTGATTTTTTAACCCGTTTATTCTGACTTAAAAAATCAAGTCACCCAACTACTATTATGGGCCCTATGCGTCAGTCCCCTGCAATTTTGGCATTTCTGCGTCACCCCTTCCCCTGTAACTTGCAATGTTTTTACACAAAATATTTATCGCATACAATGTTTACAACTTATCACAACAATCAAAATTATAGCCATAAGGGAGAACTTGACCATCCTCAAGCAGCAATCCTTTAAGGTTTCTAGCATAATAGTCGATATTAACAGGCTGATTGTAAATCTTTCCAAAATTCTTTTTAATTCGTTGATAGACGAATCTTATTGGTTCAATATCAGTTTGTCGACCTTCTATCAGAGCTCGAGTCTGCAGCTCAAGATTTTCCAACGTGGCCTTCCCCTTATTTTCGTAATTTTGGGTGATACCACGCAACTTGGCCGTATCCTTTACGTTTCCCTCGTCGTCAATTTCCCGTAGAACGTATTGTTTTGGTCCAGGCGAGATGAAAATCATCCCACGGTGATTTGGATGTATTTCGCTAGATAGTTGACCCAAGCTACTTCCGCAATGCAAGGACTTAAAGCCTTTAATTGCTGGAGAGTCTCTTTTGTGAAGATAGACAATACTATCAGTGTCGGTATAGGCCAAGCAGGCCCCAGCCTCTTCCAATTTCCTCATTAACTTCACCATGTGAAGGCGTGCAGCTGCAGTAGTGATACAAGCAACAGCCAAAGAACCAGTTGATGTGGAGTGAACCGTTTCGCTGCGTGCTCTAGTCTTCAAAAGGCGGAAACCGCTCTCCGGAAAGTCGTGTTCACCAGTCAAAACGACATTATTGTTCGAAATTACGGTCAGAATGTCTTCCCTATTTTTACACAACTTTGCATTTGCATGATCAGCTTTTTGTCCAAATTTACCCCAAAGACTATTACACATAATTTTTGCCAAATAACGCAATCCTTCGTTTCGTTCAATCTTTGATGGATCCAAAATAATGCCCGTTTGCTTCTCAAATTCCTCTACATATTTCCGCTTGCACACATCGTTAATACAGTCAACAGGCCATCCAGAGGCTTGTTGCTTAATAGCAATCATCTTTTTGAAGTATTCGGTAAATAATTGATTAGTCCATTGCTTTTCGGGCCAATAAACAATTTCATAGACTTGAATTAGGCGATAACCGTTCTCCAAAGCATAGCCAAGTTCGTCGCTAAACCATATTCCTCGAATATATCGCTCCCCAACTAAGTGGTCACATTTCACGTTTCCCAGATTCTTCCCAGAATTTATGCAGCTTTCCATGCAAGCATTGCATAATGGATAGATCAACTGCTCTTTGTAGCGTACTGGTAGAATAGCAATCTTACAGTCCTTTGGAGGCAAAACTTGACAATAATAGAAGCCTCGATATTTTAGTTTATAATAGAGTCCATTGGGCGTCGCATCCCTCCATTCTAGAGTGGTCGTTTCGGGAAGCCGCGGTCTAACAATTTGCTTATACTTCCCCACAGGATACTCGGTCTTGCAATTAATAAAGGGGTAAAGCGAATTGACGTCGTCGTAAGAAATTTCCTCGTCCTCCGATGCTTTCGTAACTGTTCTAAACGTTTGGGTTCGGCCGCCCATAAATGCCTCTCTGGGCTCCAAAACACCAATAACTTTCACTTCGTCGAAAAATTTTGCCATTTCTGGGTCTGCATCCAACATTTGACGAATTTGACATTCCCAGATTTCTTCCAAAAGATAGCCCTCATTTCGAATTGTTTGAGAACGTGCCATTGTTTCAGCATAGAGTTCTCCAGCCTCTTTTCCCCTATGTCCTAGTTGATGACGGTTTGGAAGACAAGTATGGCCGTGATAGTAACATCCGTGAACTTCGACAATGTGCTGATTCCCATTCCTCTCGTAATAACCATCCACATAAATTTTTCTGCCGTTTTTTAGAACCAGTTTCTTTTCTCCACCATTATCCCAATGTTGAATGTCGTGTCCCTTTACTGTTTCTAGCCATTTGAGATATTTCTGTGAAATCTTACTATGGTTTTGATTTGAGCCAATTTCAAAAACTCCTCTCTCCGGTAAATGGGCTAGTTTGAGCTCCTCTGGCATGTAATTCATTCTAAAGGCAAGTAAGCAAGCCCCTGCCAGAGTAAGGCTATATTTGAAGGGATCCAGATTATTAAGCTCTATAAAAAGCTGTCGGAAACGCATACAGCCTTGGAGCAAGACTTCACAATCTTGCATGCAATATTTTACCAGTTCTTCCTGTAAATTGAACTTCTTTTCAGAGTTTTCTGATAAAAAACTGTTCAATATCAGAAATTTCCTTAGCCGTTTTTGAACTAGTGTTATAGTATCGAAGGGATGGCCGAGGCACATCGCCATCAAATTTTGGACAATTTGCATAAATTGGAAAATAATCCTTGGTAGCTGGAACGCCCCAAGTCTTTTCAAACTTGTTCAAAGCCACTAGCGTAAAATTCAAGCTGTCGATGATTTTAATATTGTTCAGATTTTCGATTGGATATTCCTGGGATGCATCACGCGTCTTCAAGGCAGACCGTCGAGGCTTTTCTGTCCCTATCGAGTAAAATTTTTGGCCACCCGAAATAACTGTCGGTTCTATTCCCTTCTGCAACAGCCAATCAAAAATAAAATGTCCATCAAACTTTCCGCCATTATGAAAGATCAGCGTAGAATTATTGTTGGTTGGATCCGTGAAAATCCATCTGCAAAAATCATCTAGTGCAGATGAAGTCCCTTCCCAGCTTTTATTAGAGAAACTAACTTCCTTTACACATTGGCAACCGATTGTTTTTCTACAAGGTACATTCGATGGAGCCAAATGGTCAGGACAGCATTGGTTACAAATTTGCTTTGCGCAGGCGGTTGTAACCCTTTGCTCTGCTAACATTTTGATCGTACCATCCTCTTCTACATCATTGATTTGTGTCTCAAAATCAGCAAAAGTATATTTGAAAAGAGCCGACCCATTTTTAATTTGTTCAGCCTGTCTAGTGGAAAGCCGGCCCCAAGAACACTCATGATTCGCCCGCCGATAATCCTGACATTTTAAGCAATATAGGGCCTCATCGCATTTGTGTTTTTCCATTGGTCGAAGATTCCTTGTAAAGGTACCATTACATTCCAGACATTTGTAGCGTTGGGCCAAACAAACCATCTTTTCCTTACGTTTTTCCAAGTGTCCTTCGAAACATTTGGCATTTGGAAAA